GCAGAGCAGGGAGCCCGATGTGGGGCTCGATCCCAGGACCCTGGGATCATGACCTGAGCCGAAGGCAGACGCTTAACGACTGAGCCACCCAGGCGCCCTTCCCCATTTTTTAAAATGAGGTTGATAATACCTGCCTTATCTTTATCTAGGGGTCATTAAGACGAAATGAGATAATTCATATGAAATGCTTTAAAAAGTAAAATGACTACAGAAGTGTATCCTGCCTGTGTGACCCAGCTCTCCTGCTACCTCCTGCGAGAAGTTTTCCAGTTTTTCCGTGAGCATCCTGCCCACCATAACCCATCTTCTGGGAGCCTGCCATTTGCTGACTTATGTTCTCGTTATTTCAGTGCTTAAACAAAATCTCCCCTGTGGCATATCGTGCCCAGAAACAGTTACCTTGTGCAGAAGGTGCCCATGTCAGATCAACGGAGTGCTCTGTGCAGAGCCTTCACGGCATCTCGGCCCGCTCTGTAAGCAGGCAGTTCTGGAAGAAGGGGAAGCCACCTGCTACCTTTAAATAGCTCAGTTTTATCTTTTAGAAAGATACGTCTAGGGGCAAGTGACGGATGGACTAGAGGAGATGGGGAGGGAGACAGATGCAGTGGTGACACCAGGGAGCAAGATTTGGGATACCTTCATCTCTATCTAGCACCCTATTCTTTGATGTGGACGCTGGACATTTTGTCAGTCTGTGGCAAAGTAACGTGCACCACCACACCCTTCAGCCCGGCTTGCTACCGCCTAGCGCTTCCTAGACAGAGCCTGGAGCAGAACTGAACCAGAGCCAGGAGACCAGAAGCAGACCAAGCGCTCTGCAGTAGCCCCGCCACAAAATGAGGAGGGCCTGAATCCCTAAAATCTAGAAAGAGGCCTAGAATTCGTGGAACTTGTTGGCCAACAGGAGGTGGGGGAAGCCAAGGCATGAAGGCAGATTTTGAGCGTTCCAGTTGGGAAAACTGAAGGCAGGGGCTGGGGAAGGAAAATTAAGCAAAGATTAATTTTTAATAGCTTTGCTTGTTACTCTTGCTGTGATAAGCACGGTGCGTTGTAACTCATGAAGAGCCACGGAGAGGGATCTCTCCCCGCCCCCTCACCCCCCTCACCCCCACTTCCTCTGGGCCACACACATCTTTTGTCTATCCTTCAGATCATTACCTGTTCGCATGACAATTCCCAGCCTCACTTAGCAAGAGAAATGCACATTGGAACTAGAAGGAGCTACCGTTTTTCACCTGTCAGTTTGGCAAAGATCAGTATGTTTGATGATACTGTGGGCAAGGCTATAAGCTCTCTCATATGTTCCTGGTAGCAGTGTAGGCTGAGAAATTTGATAATACTTCCCAAAACCCAAATATACGTACCTTTGACCCAGCTGGGAAAGGGTCCTACAGCTGTGTTCCTACGTGAGCATAATAATGAGTGTTGGGGGACATTCACTGCAGCAAAGACCGGGAAGCATTTAGATGTCTGTGCATCTGGGCTCTTTGTAGATTATGGCCTTTCTGTACAGCGGATACCATGGAGCCGTTCCCCAGAATGACTCAGCTCTGCTGTGTTGCTAGGTGATCAAGATGGGGTGCATACGTGCAGGCCGGAGAACAGGGCACAAAGCTGTGCAGGGGCAGGGGCTCTTCGGGCCAAGTCTGAGCCCACCGTGGGGGCCGGGATGGATGATCTTCCCCGAAGGGAGGGGGTGCTGCCCGTGTACAGCAGAGATGACCATGATAAGGCCCAAGGCAGAAGGGGCAGGAGAGAGGATCCGGCAGGGTTCCACTGAGGGGAAGGAGGGCCGGGTGTCCAAGGCCACTTCGTACCAAGAAGTTGCTCTGTGCTGTGTCTCTCACCATATATGTCAGGCAGGGAGCACAGAAACTGCCCGGGCCCAGCAGACCCCAAGATCACAGGCAATGTGAGAAGCTGCCTAGACTGAGGAGGCCTGTGGTTCTGGGCTTCAGAAATGAGGACCCAAAAGCAGTTTGGCTTTTTTTGGAAAAAAATCCTTTGGGGGCAGAGGTTCCCGGCTCCCGCATCAAGACATCGGGTCCGCTTCAGCCGAGGCCCCCACATGTCAGCCTGCCAGGAGTCCGTGGCCAGAGCCCCCTGCAGCTCCTGTCCGCTGCTGCCCAGTCAGCCCTTAGCCTCTCTTGCCAACGCTGCCGGCAGGGACCCACCGGGTGGCCTGGAATCAGCCCTGGTGGGAATACTTGCACTCCGGATACCAGCAAAGGCTACAAAGCGGGGTTTGTGTCTGTGTGTTTGCTCAGAGAGCTGGCTGTCACACATGTCCTAGCACACCCCTGAGCAGGACCTCTCTACACGAAGCACCCGGAGAAGAGTGACGGTCAAACTCTCTGTTACTTAGCTCTTCCCTGGCCCTGGGTGGGCAAAGTGCAGGTGAGAGGCTCATTGAACAGAAGTAACTTTAAATCTTAAGGACCGGGCGCCTGGGTGGCTCAGTTGGTTGGGCGACTGCCTTCGGCTCAGGTCATGATCCTGGAGTCCCGGGATCGAGTCCCGCATCGGGCTCCCTGCTCAGCGGGGAGTCTGCTTCTCCCTCTGACCCTCCCCCCTCTCATGTGCTTGCTCTCTCTCATTCTCTCTCAAATAAATAAATAAATAAATAAAATCTTAAAAAAAAAAAAAATCTTAAGGACCACACACATATTTCCTAAGAGCTCTCCATGTGCTCAGCCCTTTGCTTGGTCCTTTCCCAAGTGGATGCTGCACGCAATAAAAAAACTCTGCCAGGTGGTAGGTGCTATTATTCCCACATTATAGGTGAGAAACTAGAGGTTCTGAAAGGTGAGGTAGCCTCCTCAGGTCCACTGCTTGTGAGCAGGGACCAGCGAGGACTCCTGAGTCTGTTTATTGAGTCTCTCCACACATCTCCACTCCCAGGAACCCACTGTGGTGTAGACAGACATTCCATTTTTTTTCTTCCAGGGGAGACCATCTGGCCAGGTCCCTGCCTTCAGGCCACTGAAGTAAAATACCCCCATTTTAAAGGTGAAGTGATCAAGGGGCGCCTGGGTGGCTCAGTTGGTTGGGCATCCGACTCTTGGTTTTCGCTTAGGTCGTGGGATTGAGCCTTGTGTCAGGCTCTAGGGAGTCTGCTTGAGGATTCTCTCCCTCTGGCCCCTGCCCCCCACGCTGTCTGTCTGTCTGTCTGTCTCTCTCTCCTCTCTCAAATAAATAAGTCTTAAATAAAGGTGACATGATCGAGTCCAGAGAGGTTAGAACAAGCCTGGAATCCTGGTCTCTCGCTTCCCACACTGTGTCCTTCCACCACTGGAAATCGGCCTCGGAGGGGAGCCAATTTTTAAAAACTAACCTTTGGTCAACTCTGGTATGCAGAATTGCCAGATTCTCTGAGTTGGAAGAGGAAGAGAATAGTTTAAGGCCCTCCAGGAAAGAAGGGAATGGGCAGGGAATAGGTGTTTATGGGAAAACTGAAACCTAACCAACCCACTCTGAGTTTACTCTTCAGTCATGAAATATCTTTAGAGTCCCTCCGCTGCCAGTGCACAGGAGGGGCTCCAAAAATATTTGCTGACCTAAATGCTGTGACAGGTGCTTCAGAGAAAAGTCATTTTGTTGGTTTAAAAAAACACTGCAGAAGTGTGGTTCTAAATAGCTTTTCCAAGGAAAATTATGTGTGTCTTATTACATGAAAAAGTAGCTTGTATTAAGACATTTTGGATTTATTTGTAACAACCCACCTATTAGCAAAATCTTAAGAAGGAACCCCACCTTCTACAAATGAGTGAAACGAAGAGGGTGACTGTGTTTGGGCTTTAGTGTCAGCTGCAGAACGAAGCAAAGGTAGAAGCTACTCCTCTTTAGAAAAGAAAATAAGGGATAAGAGTGTAAACTTTGCTTTTTATACTTCTGCTCTTGGAACTTCGTCTAATCCATCATGTTTGGAAACCAGTTCTAAATACTTTCACTTTATCTTCGGTGATTTCCTAAAACGAAACATTTGCTCTTAGTTGGGAGAGTGTTTCTGTCTCCCCACTAATGAGCCCATTGCTCAATGTTGGTAGACTTTCAAATTTAGATCAACTTGTGTCCATTTTGACAGAAGTTAGAGGATCTTAAACAGGCCTCCAGGAACTGACAGGGTTGGGTGTCACAGCCTCCAAGCTGCATTTCCAAATTCTTGGCAAAAGAAGGCCAATTAACTTGAGAACCAATCACTCAAGGGTGAAAAGAGCTCCGTTATGTGTGTTCCACATCTCTAAAGGATTCAGAAAGAGACTGGACAACCCAGTATTACAGACGTGGAATAAGTGCGTAAGCTCAAGATGGGACAGGGTCTGGACACATCGTGAATGCTGGCTTCTGGGCAAGGAACTGGGGATGTGGACGTGACCCTTGAGGAGCTTATAGTCCAAAGCGTAGACAGAATTTGCAAATGGATAACAACAACACAGCATGAAGAATGTCATGGGAATACCAAGCTCAGCTGAGGCACAGAGGTGAGAGTGCTTTACTAGTGCTCTTTGTGGGGAGCTGGGAAGGTGACCTTGGGACAGGGTTTTGAAGAAGAGGTTAGAGTTTCCTGCAAGTAAAGGATCCTCCAAGCTGGGGAGCAGCCGCGCAAATGGCAGAGTTTAGTAGGAACTTGAGTGCAGTTTAGTGTTGGGGTTTAGGGGAGCCGTGAGGGTTGAAGCTGGATGGGGATAGGTTGGCCCCGGATTGCTGGGGAGTTTGGGGGCTCTATCCCTTGACCCCAGCAGCCAACCAGGAAAGGATTTTCAGCAAAGAAGAGATCCGATGAGTTAGTTGGTTTTTTTGTTTTGTTTTGTTTTGTTTTTTTGGTGTTTTGTGTGTTTACGTGCTCCGTGCCCAAAGTGGGACTCAAACTCACGACCCTGAGATGCAGGATCACGTACTCTACCGTCTGAGCCAGCCAGGCGCCCCCTGATGAGTTAGTTTTTAGAAGCTAAACTCTTAACAGAATTTGGGGGAGCCATTGCAGTAGTCCTGATGAGGAATGATTAATTACATCCCCAACTGTGGCAGAATGGAGAGTAAAGAGAAACTCATCACTGGTTCACATTTTTTTTTCATTTATAATACGATTCTTCACGTTAAAATACTGCGTTTTGCACAATGTCCTTGTCACTGTGTGGTGGACAGCCGTGTGTCTGCCTGTGGGCTTGGCTTTCTAGCCTGTTTTCCTGGGTGGCCACACACACCACACAGTTTCCTAAGAGGGAGGTCTGGGAAAGCCCTCTTCTCTATTCAGGGGGGCCTGGCTTTGGGGTCCCAGAGGGTCTGTTTATCACTGGAGACCAGAGAGGCAGGAAAGACTGGTCATCTAAACTGGGAGGCTTCTGCTGTGGAAACACAGCAACCGTGAGAGGGGAAAGCTCAAGGGAAGGCCCTTCTTTCTGCTGCAGGCTTATCGCGATCACCACGAAGTGGAAGGAGTTCTGTGGGGCGGGATGTTCTCACCTGGGAAGCCTTTGGAGAGGACTGGTTTCCTTGCTTCCAACTGTAGCGCACTCCTTCTGGGAGCATTGCTGTTGATTGTGTAACCTGAAGCTTTGCTTCCTCTCTTGCCCGGGCCCTGCCTAAAGGGTTTTCTGTGAGAACGTGTGAATGGGGAGAATGTGGGCGTTACCCAGAGTCCTGTAGCAGCCTGTCCACACCAGCACCACAGCAAGCTTGGAACGGGGCAGATGGGCGGGTGGGGGGGATCGCCGCCTTCTGGGAGGTGGAGGGTTAATCTCCGTAGCTCATTGGCAGTTCTGCCTCTGTCCAGGGCATGCTGGGATTTCCTCCCAGCTGTTTTACATCATGAAGATTTGTATGTTGGGGAAATTCCAGGGCACAGCTGCAATTAATCTGCTGCACAGTCTTCAAGCTAAGCAGGGATCCTGTAGGACCGAACCTCCGCCTCCCTGCAGGAAAGGGGGTTCTGGCTGTCCAGTGAGAGCACCCTCCAGAGAGACCCTTCCCTGGGCCCGAGTCGAATGGAAATAGCCCACCTGGCCAAGTATTCACCCTAAGGAGGGCACTGAGGAGGGGCCAAGAAGGAGAAAGGGACCCAGAGCATAAAGAAAAAGAGGTGCAGCCCCCTTTATAAATCATAAAGCCAAAATAACACTGATAGCAACGCTTGATAAAGATAGCACAAAAAAGAAAACTTTTGCTCACTCTTACTTAGGCACGTAGAAGTAAAAATCTTAAGACACTCGTGGTTAGCATTCCACAATACAGTGCAAGAACGAACAAGCCACCATGACCAAATAGGGTTTACCTGGGGAATGCGAGGGCGCTTTCGTGTAAGAAAAATCTATCCCCGTGTATCCATATCACAACTGAGGCAAATAAGAGAAACCACTTGACCGTCTTGGTAGATCAGAGAGAATTCAACGACTATTCGAGTGAAAACGATTTAAAACCAGGAACAGAACCATCCTTCCTTAATGAGGCCAAGACGGGTTCTAAGCCACAGCCTCCGTCTGCTTAACTGTGAACCACGACAGCACGGTTTCCCCGAGTGTGTTCTGTGGAACCCCAACCCCCAGAAAGAGTTTCCCAGATTCAGTAAGAGTGGGCAACTGCGTCTCTGTTCTGTCTCAGAGTCACGACGTACAGTGGCATATTGAGCAGCTTATGTAACTCAAGAGTGGTTCTACTCACCATTTGGGTCTGGTTTTTTCTTCCTGTTTTGGGGTATCAGAAGAGAGACTTGTCCCACAGACAGCATCCCATGAGTGACAGCCGTTGCCATTGCTTGGCCATCGGTTCCCTCGATGCCGCCAGGTTCCATGTTCTAAACTCCAGAGAGCATCCCCAGCAGGGAGGTGGTTTCACTCTGCTGCAGCCTGAGCATGATACAGTGGGCAGGAGCCAGTTGGGGTCAGCCGGATGGAGCCTAGACTGGGCTTGGAGAAACCAGCATTTTTAATTTGCCCACATGCCATTACCATGCAGAGAACCTATGCTCGGCCACACCTCTCTCAATCCCTAAGGACATGCTCCCACCAATAACTGGCCCCAGGGTGATTTGTGGGGCTGGATGAGAAGTGCAGCCAGAGTTTTATTGCCATTAGACATTGGGTTAGGCCTGACCAGCCTCAGCTGCACATCTCTCATGCTGAGGCGGGAGAGGAGCAGAGGGGTGCTGCTGGCCCCTGCTGGCCCCTGCTGCCCCAAGTCATGGTCCTGGGAAGCTCAGCTGTCCCTATTCAATGCTCCGTTCTTCAGAACTGCAATCCAGAGGCATTTGATAGCTAACCTACAGCGGGTTCCAATGCCTTTTTATAGGTCTTCCCCTACCCCCAACCCCCTTCATCACTTGTTTCAAAATCTTAAAAAGGCAGGACAAGTTAGAATGGGGGGAAGGGACAATCCTCCATTTCGCTGTTCCCAGACTGAATCCTTACTTGCGCACCTGCACCCCTACGCCCCCCCCAGATTGGCTGGTGAGGGAAGGGTCCTGGGCCAGATGTCCACTGTTCCCAGAACCACTCTCCCCACCTGTCTGACCGATCTCTATGGGGCCAGACTTCGGTGGTGGATAAGGCTAAAGATCTTCACCCACTTCGAAGCTTCCAGGCCTCAGTTAAAGCCAATGAGTGAGAGGGAACCCTGCAGAGCAAAGAGGACAGTGTGGTCTCTTCCACCCACGGGCATTCCAGGCAGTGGGTAGGTAAGACACCAAGCCTGTGATGGACAACCGAAACCAGTAGCTCTTACTAAAAGCACTTGCTCCAAGCGTGTGTGTCTCTGTGCATGTTTGTACCTTGAGAGCCCCAGTTCGAAGGCAGACCCTCATGTAGCTCTTAGTATATGAGGTACCAGCTCCTCAGCCACTCGAGCAGGGACTCTCCGTGAGGGACAGTTTGGCCGCTCCAGGAGACATTCGGCAGGCTGGAGACGACGGTTTTGATGATCGCAAACCGGCAGGAGACTGGGAGCTACTGGCATTTAGTAGGTAGAGGCCAGGGAAGCTACTCGACATCCTGCCATGCACAGGGCAGCTCCCACCATATCCAGCCCCAAATGCCTGTCGTGCCGTGGTTGAGAAACGCTGCGCTCGACTCCCACAAGCCTGCTCTGCCTCACAGCCTGAAAAGGTCGCTGATAATGTTCTCTCCCGAACTAGGATTCAGGGGGATTCCTCTTTGATCTAAGAACCTCCCTGGTAAGCCAACAAGAATGAAGAGTGTGCAGTGTGTGCCTTTAGGACTCCAGCTAGGAAACCAGATGCTGGTAGAGCTGGTGGGTTTCAGGAACCCTTCTACTGTGTTTCGTGTTGGGGTGGATTTGGGACACTTCTCTTTAGCACGTGATATTTGTGATTGTAGCTCACCTTCAGGAAATAAACAGAAATGCTCAGGGTGTTAGTGCTAGGGAAACATCCCTACGGGAGAACACTGATGTGTAAATATTCATCCAGCTTTGAGGTGGCCAGCCCTGTGTGAGACAGAAAGGGAGAGAGAAAAATCCAGGCTGGGGTAGGGGTGGGGTTTCAAGAAGGTGATGCTATGGAAAGTGTTATGACTCGCGTTGTAGTGAACAGTGTGGGGTTTGAAGTCAAGGGACCTCAGCTGCAGCTCCCCTCATGAAGTCAGGCTACTCACCCTGTGTTTACCTCCATTAGCGCCTCCGAAAATTTGGGACAGTCACCTCTACTTACAACAGCAGGGTTGTTGTGAAGATGAAACCAGTTTACATGTGTGAAAATGCTTTGAGGGGCGCCTGGGTGGCTCATTCGGTTAAGCATCTGCCTTAGGCTCAGGTCATGAACTCAGGGTCCTGGGATCGATGACGGTCTTCTCACTCAGCAGGGAGTCTCCTTCTCCCTCTCCCTCTGCTCCTCACCACCCCCCACCCCCGCTTGTGCGCACGTGTGCTCTGTCTCAGATAAATAAATAAAATCTTAAAAAAAACAAGAAAGAGGGAGAGAGGGAGGAAGGAAGGAAGGAAGGAAGGAAGGAAATGCTTTGGAAACTGCCCGCATGGCACAAATGTTATTCACTGAGGACATGAATTTTAACTAATGATTCCAGTATTTGTCCAGTCCTTTTAATTTGCCAAAGGCATTGAAATCCCAGTTAGTTCATCTAGAAAGTATAGGCTCTGCGTAGGGAAAGAAATGGGTGGGGGTGGGAAGGGTCAGCAGAACGCAGGGGCAGAATGATACTCAGTATGGCAGCAGGGAGGGAGGAAGGGGCAGGTACCAGAGGGCCTGGAGTGGAGACTGTCCTTATTTGTAGGGCCCCTTAAATCCCCTCTTTCGTTCCCGCTTCCCAAGCCTCCCACAGCCAGGCCTGCTTGGCCCATCCACCTGCTATCTGTGCGGCCCACTGGCCCTCTTTAAATGTGTCCTAGGGTTATTATCCTTGCCTGTGGACATTGTTTTGAAAGCCCAGACCCTGCCCTCTCAGTCCTTGTTTGTGGGTGATGAAGAGCAGAGGGGCACCACCCATCCTACTTTTCCAATTCTGGGCACTTAGCTCAAGGCCAAATCACGATTTCTTTTTCCCTGGAATTGAATGACCAGAGCAAGGGAAAACTCAGACTTATTTCTGTCTCTCTGTAAAACTCTTCCTGGAATTGAGGAGGGCACGTTCTGCATGGAGCACTGGGTGTTATGCACGAACAGTGAATCATGGAACACTTCATCTAGAACTAATGATGTAATGTATGGGGATTAACATAAGAATTAAAAAAATAAATAAAAATAAATAAATAAAATAAAAATAAATAAAAATAAATAAAAAAACAAAAACAAACAACTCTTCCTGGAGGCAGCATTTCTTATTGGAGGTGTAACTTCCAAAGTAACCTCAAGAATTCTGTGACGAGGCTGCATAGGTGGTCCATTGCCCAGAAGCACCATATCAGTTGTTGACACCAAGACAACATGTGGGCTTTTGCCCCTGGCGAAGACTAATGGTTTGCTTATGGAAATGATAGCTGCCGTTCATCACACGTCTCCCACGTGGGAAGGGCTGTGCTCTGTAGTGGACATTGTCCCTAATCCTAACAACTGGCAAAATGATGGACCTAGCCTTGCCTTACAGATGAAGAAACTGAGACTCAGAGTTGTTAAGACACTTGTCCAGGGTTGCACAGCCTGGCAGAGTGAGACCCTGAACCCATGAGCATTTGACTCTGGAACCCAGCTGGGCTCACCCCAGGGCCCCTCCCCTCCTCCCCACTCATCCTCTTCCGGGCCCTCGCCAGAGACTGCTGTGCCAGGGTTGAGGAGAGCCTTTTAGTTTAAAGAAAGTGTGTGAGCATGTGTGTGTGTGTAGAGGGTGTACTATTGGGTTTGGATTAGTACAGGGTAAGCTACTAGATCATCTTCTCAGGGTTAAGAAACGCTATAGCTAAAAGTTAAATCAGCATTGTTGAGTATGGACAGATATTACCCATGACCCTTCGAGTGTCGGGCAGATGGTTTTAATTCATTCACTCCCCAGATACTCCTGGAGGCCATGTCCTAGGGAGTATTGTGTGTGATGCTGTAAGCGATGGGGATGAAGGGGGCAAGATCACCGTCTGGGAGCCCTTGGTCCCTTGATGAGCCCTGCTTGTCCCATGACTAGAGCAGGCAGAACTTGACCCTCGGTGATCAGTTCTTTGGACACTTTGGCTGGTTGTGCTGTTTTGCGTGTCCCCCACAAAATGACGGGGGGCGCTGGTGGTGGTAGGGGTGACTATAAGCGCGTGCTCTCCCTGGAGATGATCGCCTGGACGCCGACCGGGGAGGAGCTCGTGCAGGTGCAGTGAACCAGCAGTACCCTAACTGCAGAGCTCCTCCTCTGCTCACTTGGGGGTGCTCGCGAGACCTCCTCTAACCAGCTGCCTTGTGTTTTCTGTCCCCTGTGCAGTACCTGCAGATGAAGTGGCCCCTCCTCGATGTCCCCTCCAGCGCCACAGTCAAGGACACCAGGTCACCATCTCCAGCACACTTGGTAAGTCTGTTTCCCCTTCAAGTGCCGGAGGGACACTGTCACTCACCTCAGCCCATGGCATTGCGTCCCCTCCGCCTTCCCGAAGCTGATGGGGCCTGGCGGTGCTGCTTCAAGTGTGTGTGCCTCGGGTGGAAGGCTGAGCGGTCAGGGGTGGAGCAGGGTTACCTGTGTGCTCTTCCGCCCCTCCCACCTCAGCACACGCACACCTACCACCTGGGATGGATGGTGTGTGATTAGCCATGCCGGCCCCGCCCTGCCTGGCAACCCTGGTCCTTCCCGCCACCCCCTCCCCCCGGGCCACCCAGGCAGCGGTGCTGTCCTTTCCCTCTGCTGGAGCTCCTTCTGCCTTGCCACTTCTCCTCATAGCTGCAGATGATTACAGTTGAAGAGGCTCTTTCGTACAGGATTTATAGAAAAGAATTAATTAAAACATATGCAAACAAGAACCCCAGCAGGGCCATGGAGGCCTTTGTGCCAAGCCCTGTGGCAACTCGGGCCCCAAAGGAAGATCGGGATGGTCCTGGGACGGGGGGAGCAGTGGGGTCCAAGCAGGTCTCGCCTCTGCGGGGCTTGCAGGGGACTGACATCCAGAAGAGATGGTCCTGGGATATTGCATTCTAGGACTTTTTCTTAGGAGCTTGGGCATCCCTAGTCTTAAGACCCACATAACCCCGCAAGCTAACTGGTGTTATGCACTGTACAGTGAGCCTCAGAATCATAGAGGGTGCAGCTAGAAGGAAACCCACTGGCATGACCTACGCATTTTACAGACAAGGAGACGTGGGGAAACATGGTGTTGTTTATAATTTTTTTTTTTTTTAAGATTTTTATTTATTTATTTGAGAGAGAGAGAGCACGAGAGGGAAGAGGGTCAGAGGAAGAAGCAGACTCCCTGCTGAGCCGGGAGCCCGATGCGGGACTCGATCCCGGGACTCCAGGATCATGACCTGAGCCGAAGGCAGTCGCCCAACCAACTGAGCCACCCAGGCGCCCCGAAACATGGTGTTGTTTAAAACATTGTTATGGGGCGCCTGGGTGGCTCAGTCTGTTAAGCGTCTGCCTTCGGCTCAGGTCATGGTCCCAGGGCCCTGGGATCGAGCCCCGCATCGGTCTCCTTGCTCAGCAGGGAGCCTGCTTCTCCCTCTCCCTCTCCCTCTACCGCTCCCCCGCTTGTGTGCGCTCTCTCTCTCTCTGTCAAATAAATAAATGAAAACCTTTTAAAAAAATTGTTATGGAAAATTTCACCTGTGCCCTTCACCCACATTCCCCCTCGTACTACACTGGGTTGTTTTAAAGTAAATCCCAGACATATTATTTCATCTCGTTCAGAACATTTTAAGATACCCTGACAGCTCTTTTTCATTAAAAGCTTAGAGTCTAGTTGAGGAGAAAGAAGATGTAAGTAGAAGATAAATAAAGGCTCGGTGAGCCCGTATGATTTGCAGTAATCGTGCGAACGGCTTACGGAGGCAGAGCCCTTGCAGGTTTATAAAGTACATCATGTGTAGTTCTCAGGTGATGGTCCCTGCCGTCCACTGGGGAGACAAGTGGGGAGAGCTGTTTCCACCATCTCTGGGAGAGACCAGCAACTGTGTTGGGAACAGTGAGCTGTGTGGTGCGGGCTGCCCCTGAGAGGCTCTGTGGCCGCACACCAAGGCCTGAGCAGCCCCAGGAATAGGCCAGGGTGGTGTCTCTGGTCCCCCAGGGTCCCATTTGGGACGGCCGAACGCAAGGTCCCAGTGCCCTCTAGTGGTCAGTCGCGGTGGCGGACATGGCACCCCACATCCACCCTGCCACAAACCTGGCCTGTCCCCTCCCGGCACAGCTGTCTCTCTACAAGTCTCTAGTCTTTGCTCATCCCCCACCCATCCTGCGGCGTCGCCCAGCCCACTCCAGCGGACCCCGAGACGCAGGGCCCTCCCTCCCCTCCTCCCTCCACATACTGTCTCTGCACATTGTCTAAAATCTCCATCTACTTTTAGAGGAAGTGAGTTCCCTTTCAAACTAGCATGGGTACTCATTGAGCTTCCCGTCCTTTCGGTTGCCCAGAGCCATCCATCTCTGAAAAATAAAATAAAAACCCTGGGTCCAGCCCTCCTCCTCCTGCGAGCATTATCTTATTTCCCTTGCGGGTGTTCACCACCGGCTTCTTCCACGAGAGCCCGACTCGCACCTCCACCACCGCATCCTTTGTTCTGCCGATCTCCTGCAGCGTGGCTCAGCTCGGCAACTGCCACCTCGTGCCCGAGTCCAAGCAGTGCCCCTGCTGTTGCTCAGCGCAGGTGGGCATCTGTCAGTTTTTACAGCCCTCTGCTTCCTGGACTCCTCCTTTCACTCCACCAGGCTCCTGTACGCAGAGATACTAACAGTTCTTTGCCCTCTCTAAGCTTTCGTTCTCTTTCTAGACTCTTTTCCTTAAGTGAATTAAGGTACCCATTCTCACTTAGTGAGTGACATAAAGATGTATGAAATCCCTAAACTCTCAACAAGGTTCCATGCCTGTAGCTCCAACAGCCAAGCAAACATTCATCCGTCGCAGGAATGTTCGCAGACGCTAATTCAGCGTGGTGGTGGAGCCAGGGGCTCCTTACTTTGTCAGACTGGAGAAGCTTGAACAGTTGACACATTGCACTGTAGATAACAAAATGGCTCATTTTCTAGTAAATTGTGGATTACCACACTGTGTATTCTAATATAGAAAAACAGAGGGGCACCTGGCTGGCTCAGTCAGTGGAGTATGTGACTCCTGATCTTGGGGTCGTAAGTTCGAGCCCCACACTGGGTGTAGAGATTACTTAAAATCTTAAAAAAAAAAAAAAAAAAAAAACACAGCACAGGGGCACCTGGGTGGCTCAGTTGTTAAGCGTCTGCCTTCGGCTCAGGTCATGATCTCAGGTCCTGGGATCCAGTCCTGCATCAGGCTCCCTGCTCAGCGGGAGCCTGCTTCTCTCTCTTCCTCTGCCCCTCCCTTCTGCTCGTGCTCTCTCTCTCTCTCTCAAATAAATAAAATCTTAAAAAAAAAAAAAAAAAAAAGCTGAAACACACCTCAAAAGCTTAAGAAACATGTATTGGGGGAAACCTTAACGTTACCTTGCAATGCTACAGATACGGAGAAGACCCCCATTCTCAGTTTTCACGTCGGAGCGTCTCATTCCGATTCTGAGATATACGTGTGTGTAGGAGCAAAGCCTGACACAGTCAGGGAGCACCATCTGTGTGTCGGAGGGTGTTAACACCGTGGGCTTGAACCCCAGCCCTGCCTCTTCCTATTGGTGCAGCCTTAGCCAAGTGACTTCATCTCGCATTGCTTTGGTTTCCTTGTCTATAAAATGGGAACCAGAAGAGCACTTGACCTCAAGAATTGTGTGTAAGTGAGCCCATGCGTTGTGATGATTTTAGAATTGTGCCTGGCCCAAGGTAAGCCCTCGGTGATGGTCAGCTCACTGCTGTTGCTCACTGTTGCTACCACCCACCACTGCTGCTCTTTTTAAGACCAGGAAAGAGCGATCAAAGTACTGTTTAATGAGCAGACCAAGAGGTGAGGAGGGCCTGCATTAGGGGCCAGCGCAAGTGGACAGATCGAAAAGGTAATAGATAATGAGCCCTATAGAATCTCACATCTACTCTGCCAAGTTTATGATTTAATAGGTCTGGGGTGGAATTGTTATCTTAGTTTTTTAAGCTTCCCGGGAGATTCTAAGGGGCAGGATGGAGAATCATTGCCCTAATTGTAAATCAGAGTCGAACGGGAAGAAGGAGTTAGAGACGATCCCAGTTTACTAGGTGCTCGCTTCTCGAAGCTGGAGCTCTAAGCAGGACTTGGAGGTTTCCGGGGGTAGTTACGGAGGTCTGGACCCTGGCGTTTTTATTAGAAATTTGAAAACACTCAATTAGGAGGTTTCATTTAGAATCACAAGCAAAATATTTTAAGATGAGGTTTGCCCTGAGAGAAGGGCAAATGAAGGAAACAGCCTGCCTACTTGGCAGAGATTTAGTGAGTCATGTCAAAGCTGCCTGTCAAGGAAATGTGTATAAACAAGCCGTAACCGGGCCAGGGTGGGGATGGAGTTAAGTGTTATTACTACTTGGATTTTATGCTTTAAAAACAAGCTCTAAGAATGGAATAGCTGTGATATTTTATATGTAACGACTTGTAATATCTGATCACTGTGATCTCCTTGCATGTAGACTGTTATCCAGACCCCTCGCTGCGGCCCCCATGTGCCTGGCCCCCGTCTTTCCCTCCTCTCTCCCTGGAGTACTGTGCCCAGCCACACAAAACAAATAGATGCACTTCTAGAACATAACCAACTCAAAGATAGGAATCACGTCTGCTCTGCTCACGTTCGTTTACCCCGTGCCTGTTAGAATGCCTAGCACAGGGTAGGTGATAACGGAACCCCTATGGATGAATGGAAGAATAACTCATCAGGGGAAAGGTGATATAGCCTATAAGCCCCTCTCTCTCTCTTGCTCCATTCCCTCTTCTCATATGGGACCTTTTTTTTTTTTAAGTCTTTTTTGAAACCATGAAGGTAAGGCTTGTGCTATGTAGAACACTTGGGAAGATGCCAAAGTGCCCAGAAAAAGACCTACACACGTTTTGTGATACAGCACTTCATTCTCTTCTGTTTGTGCATGCACCTGTAAGGTGCTTTCTAGAAGATGACCAAAATGCTTCCTTTAAATAGTAAACACCCCGTTTTGCCGTTAAACATCGGGCCACTCTCAGAAACAGCTTACCGAGCCTCGTGTCCAAGGTCCGCTTGTCAGGCCAGTGCCTGGAAGCCCTCCTTCTGAAGAAGGGCCGCCTTGCTGCTCTGCCTTTGAGCCGAGAAGTCTGGCTTTGCTGAGCATGCCAGTTCTCAATTTAAAACATTTATTGAGATGTCCCTTTTAAAATTGCACAGAGGTTCTCCATCTTCTCAACAGTACACCTGCTGTGGACCCAAAGCACTTCAAAACTCACCCCATAGCCTGTTGCTGCTCTGGTCTGCCTC